GATATATATATATATATATATATATATATATATATTTATATTTATATATTCAATTTCAATCAAAACTGTTGTTGCCCCTCAACACCCCGTGACTTCCTCACTTTAGGATAGAGCAAGTCGATATAGTGAAAAGCAGAAAAAGTCTTGAAAAGTAAAGAAAGTGGTTAAAAAAATGTGAAGAGGTAGAAAATATGCGTCATAAACCATAAAAGGGCTCAGATGGCCTCTTCTCCTGCAGAAAAGAAAATCTGTTATTTTTTTCTTATCTACTCTGATTCAACATTTCGACACAAAAGTCTAAACGGATAATATTCCCTTTGGAAAAAATACCTTCACACATACCAAGCGCAAGGGAAATCTTTCCGTAACTTTTATCGAATGGTTTATAACCATCTCTGCTTTCAGCTATTTACTTGTTTGTGCAGTGGTCAATCGACAAAAAGTACACTGCACTTCAGAATAAACCGGGATACATAAATCGAAGCTCATGGCTCGCACCTCCGTCATTTTCTAGCACGAGCACACCTACTGAGCTATTCATTCTGACAAGTGTCATCTGGGACCTCAACCATGAGCAATGCATCATTGCTATAGTCAATGCTTACCAATGAGACCACAGCCATATAGCAGGCGATCAAAAGTAACACCATTGAACAAACCCCTATCAAGTAGTTTTGGTTCTTAACGGAAAGCCCGTCAGTGGAGTTTGGGGCCACATAAACCGTGCTACCTGCTTGGACGGCTTCAGTAGATAAAATTAGTGTAACTAAGGCCACAAGAGTGACTAGGAAGCTAGCAACTCGAGTCATATTGCAAAAAAACTAATCCTATTTTCACTTTGATTTGTTGCAAACAATTGTTCTAGAAGATTTCCGAGAGGATATGTCAAGGTGTAGGCTAAATGATGAAGAGAAATAACGCATCAAAATGAAGATTTATAATAATCTCGAACCAATGTGCAGTAAGGAAGGGACAGAAGGAGGTAATAACGATTGGCGTAGTTATAATTCAGTGCCATTGAAAATAGTTATTTACGCCACCTAAGATAGAAGTGGAGAGGGGGATATTGAAGTAGAAATGAACTTTCCTTCACCAAGTTTTATCATAAAAAATTGAAAGAGTGATCAAAAAGGGCTCAGAAAAGTACTTTTATGACTATTTTTTCGCTGATACCAGAGTGCTTTGCAAATATCCGATCAGTAATAGTAAATTATAATAATATAATAACAATGTGACTTTCTTGCATGACAAAGAGATCGATGAATTGTTGAACAGAATACTTACTGCGGCATTAATCACAAACAGGCCAGAAAACAGGTGTGTATAAAAAAGAAGTACATCTTTTCCCTGGATCATAAAGAAAACCAAAAAGAGCTTTCGAGTACGTGAATCGTTAATTAAAACAACGCATCTTTTCCCCCTTTCCCATCTCAACTGACACACAGCATGATCACTCCTTATCACGGTTGGGCTATTTCTCACACAAACACAAACACACACACTCTCTCTCTATATATATATAGAGAGAGAGAGATACTTTGATCGATTCTAAAATTATATTTCTTTTCCCCAAGAATACAATCTTCCCTTTAACTTCCCTCAATGCACCAGACGAGAGTTTATGAAAACACTTACTCAATTTGCAACATGAATCTTGGTGTTGCATCAACATATCCATACATTGATATTCAAATGTGCTTTTTAAAAAAGGCGCATGTTCAGAAAGGTCTTCTAATAGCTTACACATTATGCGAAAGGATATAAATATGCATATTCATTTGCATTCATACCGTCAAGAGCAATACAGACACAAGATGAAGAGACAAATTCAAAGACTGCGTGTCATAACATCAATGAATCAGAAAATATAATCGAAATGACATGATTGTAGGTAGCTGTAAAGTATGGAAGATATTCACCGTTAACAGTAACACTACTATTCATTTCTGCACACTGACTTCATATTATCTCTGATTTAACCCTTGCGTACACCCAAGTTCAAAAATTGATAAAAAGAAGCAAAATAAAGTGAATGCGAAGAATACTTTTCGAATTTTTTTTGATAAAGAATAAGAACTAAATACACACCTATCACCATTAATTAAACTTGACCATTATTATCTTTTTGACAATTTTCCCCTGTAAAACTGAATCTCAGTTCTTCCTATCTTTCTTCACGTCTACTGTCGCCTTTGCTGTGGTTCCGAACTCGTTTTTTTCGGATACTGCATCGCATTGAGATGTTTTAAGCACTGGGAATATGGTCCCAGAGTGATTGTTGGGAAGAGCGTCATTGGGAACGGCCTCCCCTTCGCCGAGAGACTCAAAATTCAGACGAGTCGAATTCGACTTACTGCACATGTTAATGCCTGTGGTTTTAGGATTAGATAAATACGTCTCTGGGAGCACGTTCGAGGGCCACTGAGGAAGCTGCAGTTGGAGCTTTAGGCCACAACACCCACTGCTGTTCATAGGGAACCCGTAGTCCAGGCATTTGAGTAAAGCCTTCATATCTTTGTGTGCGGCCGCAATAATATTCTGCAAATTCCCTTGAAGCAGGATCTCATTGTTACTTCTAGGTGTATTATCACTGCTATGGTTGCGACTATCCTTGTCATTTTCAATACTTGTGTTCAATGAATTTACGCCGTTCCCCTCATATTTTTCCATTGATGACACCTTTTCCTCCTTGTTTTCCTTGGGCAAGGATCGCGGGCTCGCAAGTGGTACTGCCGAATCATACTGTTCATAGCATAAGTGCAGCACATTAAGCAGCCACCGAAACGAGGAGTAAGATATCGGACAAGCGTTGCGGCATTCACTTGTTGGACAGTTAGAATTATTCACTTTTTTGAACCTATTACTCGATCTAGAATCATTTTCAGTTTTCTCATCTTTTTTTCCCTGACCCTCTGCAGGGTCCATCTTTACCTGCATCTGAGACGACGCTTTAGACATGTCCTCCTCGAGCTGCTGCAAGACCAATTGCAATTCTCTGAATTTAGGATATAGCTCCCCTGCAATACTTAGTTCACTATTGCCCGCAGCATTCCTATGCCCCATAGTTGGCAAGGAACTATTCACATCAGCCACTTGTACTTGTTTACCCGCCTCAACATATAGGTTACACTCTTCGCCGCCAGCCTGCAGTGCCGCGAGGCCTGTCTCCTTTCCCATATTTCCAGACGACTGGGTGGACTGACGTAGCCCCACCAACTCACCCGTAAGTCGATCAAGAATAGCCAAGAGCATCGTTATATCACTGAGATATGCCTTCATCACCTCCGCCTTCTCTGTTGCCACCGTCACCGCCTTGGCACGGTAGAAATCAAAGCCCTCCTGTAAGGCTTGCTGCTCGCGGCGCATGCGCGACAAATTCTCAACCAGCTCCGCCCGAGAGCGGCTCAGCTTACGGAATTCCTCGTAGAGGTGCTTGTAGCGCGCCTCGGCCTGCTGGATCGCACTGTTCCAAGACGCCGGTGGGGCAGCAACCGCGTCGTTGGGGGGGGAAAACTGCCCCACACCGCTATGCGATGACGGTGGGGTATTCCCGTGGGGCGGGGACTGTGGCGGCGGTGGCGGCAACACCTCCGAACCGCTTCCATAGCCGTGTGTCTGCCCCACGTCGTACCCGTAATAACAGCCGTTTGTATTCACTATACCACTCATCGGATTATTGTAATAACTGGGAGGAGGCATCGGATACGACGCGGAGGTCATGCTGCTGTTAGGATGCATTACGTGATGATTATTAGAGATGCAGGAATCCACAGCGATCCCCTCGGCCCCGCTGGGGCTACTGCTGCACACGCCAAATGTGATTCCATCCCCCGTACAGTTTGGCGGGTTTGGAACAGAAGCGGCGGCGTAGCCTGCGCTGTTAGCTCTCACGCCACTCCCAGTCAGCGGGGAGATCGGTACAGACCAGCATGAGTGGTAGCTCCCGACACCTACGCTACTGGTTGTGTGATGGTGATACTGATGACGGGAATGCGGAGGGGCTAAAGGGGTATTGGAATCGCAGCCGGGGGTGTTTAAGTTCACGGTAATAGAATTGTGGATACTCGTTGGTTTGGACTGCAACTTTTGTGAATGCGGATTCGTCTGGGAGGTCGTCTGGCTCGATGGCTCGGTGTGAACATCTAGCTTTTCCGCAGCAGCACCTGACTTTTTTTTGGGATACATATTTGATTAGCTTAATCTCTTTGATACGTTGACCTTGACCTATTATATATGTTTATATTCTGTCATAAGCGTACATATATATATTTATATATATAAATATATATATATATATATATATATATATATATTTATTTATATATAATATATTTATATATTATATGCAATTAAGACACAATAAATATTAACGTGGAAAATATTCTAGTAGCAACAGTTTTTTATAATAATATGTTTAGGGAAGGACAAAGGAACAACTACCAACTAAGCTAGTGAAATGCAAGGCAAAGAAAATCGAAGGAAAAATAATTGCAAAACCTATATTTTTGCAGTGACATCAAATTATGAATCCATCCGTGCATTAGTTCATCCCTTCTCATTATGATGTTAATCTTTTTTTTTATCCATACTCCTTTTATTTGAAAGAGGGAGGAGAGGAAGAGGAAGATAATGAGAATACATCCACTCAATACCTTATAAATAGAAATATTGAAAAATAAATATAAACAAAATTTTAGAATAAAAAGTGCACACATAAGACGCTTGCTGCAGGACACAAGGTACAAGCCCAGAAACAGCGGAAGATATTTTCGCCGACCTGGCAAGGGCTTCACAAGTTTTGGGACCGTGTTAAGAGAGGAACTAGACAACCAAACTCCACTTCTTTGATTAACCTCTATGACATCTAAAAACGCAGAAACAAACAAAATGCCTCAGTAAAATATTCTCACTAAGGAAGATCTATGTCAATACTGAAATAGAAACCTAATAGTTCACAACGGCACACATTTTTCTCATAAATCGTTTATTTTCTGGATGGCAGCAGCAACACGTGCTGCTAAAATTGCACCATCTAAATCCTCCTCCCTCCATCTCCAATATCTTCGTCTAGCATTCTCCAACTCCCATCGCATAGGACCGAAATCACGACCTAGGGTGTCATACCCTTGTGGGCTGGGGCATCGCCTCTTGAATGTGCACCCTTCTGAGCTTTTAGGCCCTAGGGTATCTCCGATTTCACGCTTACCAAGTTCCATGGGACTCTCTCCTAGCTCTTGATGAAGAAATCCAAGTTTCACAGCCTGCGTCGTAACAGCTGTGAGTTGGAGAGAAGATTCTTTCGTCCTGGTGTTCAATGCTCTGCTACTACCATAGTAAAGCGTGTTGGCATGCACGTCGGATGAAACCGCTTGCCTATCACCCATGGGTGAGATGATATCAACCCCAGTAGCGCTGCGACCCGTCAATGAAGCCTCATTGATTGCGTTTTGCAGAATCGGATCAACTGCTCCTGCATCTGGGGTGTGCAAAGGATAAACTATCACCGGAGTTTGAATCGAAGTGACATCCACCTCCACGTGCGGACTTTGCTGGGATGAGACATGTGATTTGAGCAGTGATTCATCCAGCAGAGGGGGTCCTCCTTGAAGGGGTCTCCGAACGTTCTCAGTTGGGCACAAATGAAGATCCTTCGAGTCATGCCACGGTGCGGATGCAGACGATGTAGGAAGGGTTTGCATGGGCTCTTGTACTTCGCCCTCTTTAATATCTGTAGACTCAGTTATTGACTCAGGTTCCATGATACGCGTGTTAGAGGAGATATGTATTTTCTGTTCTAAGATGCCTTTTTGCTGAGCCATGTTGACTTCCTGTTCGTGTTTACCACCACCCTCTTCTAACATGTGTAGAGCAAGAAGATCGCTTTCAGCAATAAAAGCAAACGCCATCCTCAACGTATCCTCTAGTGACTGGCTTGACTCTTCTTCTTTTGGAAGATGTATATCCAACGGCACTATGGAATGAATCTTTCTTTCTCTTAGATTAACATGCAGCTTGGGGAGAGGAGGAACGACCGCGATCGGTCGCCGGATATACAGAAAAGCCTGTTCAAGACTTTTCACACGCGTCTGTTTTTCTATACAGACGATCTCCCGTACGATATCAAATTGTGACCCGTCACAGTCATTTTTCTCCAATACTGTACTGCTGCGTGGCAATTCCAGCCGCCCCTTTCCATTAGTCTCGAGGCCATCAGTAACGTGCCGCATTGAGATAGGATGAATGAATGGGCGATTGAAGAAGTTCACATCCGCCTTCACACCTGCACAACTCATCAACTCTTCCATGCTCGGTATTACCGCATTTAATGCTGAGGTAAGCATATGAGAACACCGTAAAAAGCCAGGTGGTGTGTTTGTGTGTAGAGCTATGTGACAGTGATGTGAATCCTGAGCGTCAAAGGCAACACAGGCTGCACGAAGGGTAACATTGACGCAGCCCTCCATGACGATGTAATTGGCAGCGCATACGAGAATGTCGAGGGGGCCCGTGCAATTACGGATGTAAAGGTTGCCCACAACCTCGATAAGATGCACCTTCCCCATAGCAATACTCTCAAGAATGAGATCACATGCAGACATCACGCCACTTCTTGATTCATCAGACAGACCACTATAATAGCCTTCAACGTATGACTGTTGATCGTGGGGCAAATTTTGTTGCCATGCCGATTTGCCCCCCGACTGTAGCGAATAGTCTGACCGAATACGAAGAGACCCAGGTAAACGTAGCAACGACGGGTCGAATAAGTCGTGTATACGTATAACTTGTGCAAATTTTGAAGCCTTGCACTCTTCTTCACCCATAATTGTGTAAGGAGGCACGCATTCGTACAACATACTCTTGAAAGGGAATCGTAGAAAGATTAAATCCATATTCTCCTGTGCTGCGTCGCAGCACTCTCTAAAAAAGCTGCATGACGATATCCCAACTACAGAAACCGATTTCTTCTTATCTTTTCCCCCATCTGAGACCTCGTGCGCTCGGGAGCCTACCTCGGTACGGATAACATCCATGTCAGCCTCCTGCACTTCAGACACTGGAACTGAGACAGAGAGCAGGATTGGGTGTTCATCGGGATGCTCTTCGTACCAAGCCAAATCTTGAACTTCCACCCTTTCACACGCACTGAGGCAGACATCCTGTCCACCAACTTGGAAAACTTTGTTTAGAGTATAAATATCACGCTGTTCGTAGGCCTCAAAAATGTAGTCTCGGGATTCTTCTGAGGTTTCCTGAATAATACTTCTTAAGATCGTGTCGAAGTATGGACACTCCACGAATAGAGGAGACACAATCACGTCTTGGCAACGCTCCAACGCGATATACTCTGTGACCAAAGCAAAGAGCTTCAAATTCATACACGAATTGACAACACACTCCCTGGCAACGTAAAAGATGCGCATGTGGTGACAGTTTTCTATTATCATGTTGCCGACGGACCCTACCAAGAAAACGGTGCAGTGACTACACTTGCGAATCACTACGTCGTCAACGACGTCAAGAACAAAAAAAACAGGGCACTGTGATGCACAGGAAAGCCTCCTCGTCTCTACAACGCCTGCTTCGTGAACACCCCTGCCACCACATTGTTGCATTCCACGGTATCCTGAGAGCTGAGATGGATCTGAACTTATCTGGGTGTGCTGCAGCTTCACACCTAATGTGATCTCTTCGACAAAGTTACCCGACGCCGTTTTGGATTCGTTGGCGTGCGCATTAGCATACGACTCATCAGGGAGGCTCTGCACTTTTGGCTTCGGGCCACCATGCACATTCATCATGTGCACATCCTTCCTGTGTAGCTCGTTGAAAAAGAAGTACACATCACTCTCATTGTCGTCGCAATGCTTAAACCGCTTCCCATAAGCTGCCAAAGCATGAGAGTAGGAAATATCGTCGGTCCGAGACCCGACACTTATAAAATTAAAGTCACGAGTAGACCTTCTTTGCTGTGGTGGTATATGTTCTGAGACCTGTGTCACGTTTAAAGATACAATCCTATCGTCAGTTCTGCGTGCGTGAACTGAGCACTCTTGCGGGAGTCCCACAAGTAAGAAATCCTCTGAAAGCCCAGGATATACGAGTGAGTAGGGTTCCCAGTGAACACTCTTAAGAATGGAGTCTGAATCGAAGCTGTTTGTCGCGTTTCCTCCCCCGCTGGTTTCATCGCCAGAAATAAGGGTGGTCGCTGTACAATGCAGTACCACATCCGCGACATGGCGCAGCACTAGATATGTGCAAGCCACCACCACGGGTGTGCAGAACGTCACTTGATGAATATAACACATAAAGCAGGGTGCCAAATACACTTGGCACTGTTTCATATTAACCAGCACAACAAACCTAAACGGCACGAGCAACTCGATTCGACAGCTTTCGAGATCTCTGAGTACTACAGTATCAATGGCATCGCAAAAATAATCCATTTGCCCGCGATGGAGCTTCAGCAACGAGTTTTTCTTGGATGCGAAGAGTACAGTACGGAAGCGCGGCAACACCTCGCAGCCCGCCTGCCTCTCCAGTTTCACCTTTTCTTCTTGAAAGATCCGAGAGATCGTATGACTGTGAGACACCCATCGACGTGAATTTGGATTCTGGATACAAGAGTTGTCTGACTGGGACAGTCTCATGCACAGATAGCCGGAACTTGAAGAAAAGTAGAATTCTCCACCTACAGCCTCATGAGTTAAGCCATCATTAACCTTACTGACATTCTGCTGAGTGATCAAGGACGACTGCGGCATATGAGGATTGTGTGGATCATAATGAATTGGATCATTGGTGCGACTCAAACCTCTCCCGGGAAACGAAGGAAGGCTCCACGTCCACGGCACCACCACACTCCACTGTCCTGCTGGTCTTCGCCCCAAGGTCGGCCACAAGGCACACATGCCGTCTACAGTAGTCATAGCAAGACACTCATCATCGTTACTCCGCACCCCATTCCCGGTTCTCCAGAAGTGACCTCCCCAAAAGCATTGGCAGCTCTTTTTTAAGGCAGTCAAACGTGAGGAAAATATCGAATGCCGGTGCATGCGTGCAATATAAGGTTTCGTGCCACACAAGGATTTGTTTAGTATGGTATTCGTGTATATAGGATACGTGACTCGATGCAATGTATCCTGTATGGCTTGCATTGTCTCGCCCTCTCCGACCACTTCAGACCCCCTCTCTTGCCCCTCCGGTAAATGGTTTTTGAAAAAGCTATGTTTCAAAAGGTCCCCGGCATTGTTATACTGCACTTCATCGTCCAACACCCCAAAGCTAGCCGCCATGGAATCAACGATAAATTCAAACAGTTTATTCAGAAAGTCTTCAGTGTAATCTGCCAGTTTGCAACGCAAGGACACATAGACACTCTGTGAAAAACACAAGTGAAAAATGCGCGCACAAAGTGCTTGTCGCAGACTTCCTCTTCTATTGGTACCCCCGTTATTCGCTTGTGCTTCAGAAACGCAAATTTCACGACTAACTACTAAACGGTGGAGCTCAGCTAGAGTTTCGACCACCTCTCTGTACGTTGTCCCGTAGAATACAGGGATACCTATGACAGCAAACAGTGTAAGGGTGCCAATAGCATATAGATCATCAGCGGCTTGAGGAGAATACCAAGGCGCATTCTCCTCCAACTCCAGCATGCACAGCTCCAGTTCGTCTACCAGCCCTGATGAGAAGGGCTTCTGAGGCGTGTCTGGATGCGGCACGGCCGCCTCATGTTTGATAGATGTACGCCTTAACAGCGGCGCCAACATGGCAGCCTTGGCCGGTGGCAAAATCGACAAATCATCGGGATAGATTTTTGTATTCATCAAACCCGCTGACTGGGCTAGTGTGCAGTGACCATCGTTTGTGGAGAGTGTGATATTGCCGCCATGGAGGGCACCGTGCGTGATGCCGGCCTCGTGTAATGAGGATAGACACGTTAACACACTCCACAGCAGCGCAATGAGCTCGTCTCGCGACAGCATGGTGTCCTGGAAGGCGATGATGTCGCTAACGCTGATACCATATGGATCGGTATCTAATTTTGCGATGATGCGATTTGAAGAGTCGACGTGGATATCAATAATGCCGCGACAGACCACAGGGCGATCAAAATATTCGTCGGAAACAGACCCATGGCACTCCTGCTTGCCAGCGTAACCCTCACTCCTCATGTTTAGCGATCTTGTCGGAACAGAAGGGCCCGCTAACCCAGCATCTTCTAGTCTTCTTTGAGCTTTCAGCATTTTCCGTGCAACCTGCAAGGCACGTTGTTGGAGAAAAGAGTGAGTAAATCCTTGACGGTTTGCACTCATCAACTCATATACCCTCAGCACCATGAGTACAGTTTCAGTCTGAGTTGACGAGTCCGCCGGGTGGCCCGTGTCCCCAGTACCCAAAGTTTCACGCACAACGTGGCCGCGATAAACCGACGAAAGGGGGGTCACGTCGAGAAGAGTCATCACGTTTAGATTCTCCGACCACAACAAAGAGTCCTCAAGCTCAATCGTAATTTCATCGTCTAATTCGACATCACGACGCCATGCAAACTCGGTATCAGCCGCTTCAAGCTCAGTACCCTTACTGTTAGATGATGAATTTGAACAGGAAGCGCGAAATGTCTCTGAATGGATTAGCACGTCCCCTGCTTCCAAGGGGTCTTGTATAGAGATTCTGCGCCTCAATTTGGTATCCATATCAGAGATGTCAATATCGTTCAAATCATTAATCTGTCTTTTTAGAAATCTCTTTAACTCTATTCCCTCATTCGGCACCGCGTTGTCATTCACCATCACCTGTGCTGGGACATTGGAAGAGCATAACATGCTGTGGGAGTTCGTACGCGCATAGCATGATGAGGGCTTAGATGCTGAGCACTGTTCAACTTCACTACTCCGATCATTTATGTGACTTAATACTGGGAATCCTTTCATGGGATCAACATGCAGGGGCCCCGAGGTCCTCTCAACACTGACATAAGATGGGTTCCCAGAAGTCATTGGAGGTGGTGGGGATGGCCCCGTTTCCGGGGCCGCCGAGAGATTCGACGAGCGATGAACACCAGCCCCACAACTACTAGGGGGAAGGGCAGTGGAGCTATCTAAGGGAAGGTCTGACCCTACTTTACCACTGTCCTCACTAAGAATGGTATTCGAACATTCAGATAATTCTAAATGCTTGTCTAATTCATTATGCGTAGATCTTTGAGGTTGCTGCGCTCGCGCTACCTTCCGTTCATGCCAGTAACTCTGCAGAGGGCCACCGCACATGCCTTCTTGATCCACCTCTTTAGTGTTTGGAGAGGATATTTTATCAGTGTTGTCATCTGAAATAGTGGAGTAGAGCTGCGTTGCTCTCTCAGCATCACCTTTTCTCCAAGCCGAGGATATTGAAGCACCCAAAGCTATATGAGAATCGTTCATGTTGGATTTCTCACTCAATTCTCTATCTCTGCTCAAAAAATCGGCCGCGCTAGTTCTGAGAGTAGGTGAAGTAAAGATGCATGATTCCGTACAATGGTCCCCCTCCCCATTGACAGCTTCTTGTGCTTGGACGGGGATAAGGGTGAAACAGACGGCCGTATCGTCAACTTCCCTTAGACTTTCGTTGCCTCCCTTTCTATGGCTCTGAAAACTATGGTAGTTCTGATGCGTGACAGGCAACACCTTTTCTATGGTCGAGTGCGACCCTTCACCTCGCTCACTTGAGCGACTTAGTGGAGCGAAGTACGGTGTCCTTTCACCACTTTGAGGGATTTTTTTTGTAGGAGTTCGGTTTTGTGGTGCTACGAAGGTCTGTATTTTTCTCTTTCCTTTGAAGGAGCAATTGCTTGTAAGCTCTCCGATTTGGGTATTGCACTCACTTGTGTGACTATTCAACTGTTGGAAAGTGGAATCTCGAATAGGTACCGCTACAGTTCTCTCAGCCTGGTGGGAAGACGATGAAGGAAAAAAAAACTTTGCGCGCAATCCGAGATCATCCAGCGAGGAGTCCTTCAGACTACCACTTCTACTACCACTCAAGCTTCCGCTAGTAGTGGGACTGGTATGTGAAGAGGGTTCCTTAGGGCCACACGCCGCTGGGGCTTCTGTCATATCCTCCTCGCTTTCCGAGAAGAATACTCTCATTGCTCTTTCGATCGGAAAAGAAGAAATCTCCTTGGCGTCTGGGCTTTTTGTACCACCCTCCACATCTAACCCGCGATCGAGAACCTCTGTGGAGACGGACGCCTTCGGGATGAGGTTGCTGTGCAGATCGACCCCTTGACTAAAACTGTTTCTTCGACTATCACAGTCGATGTCAACAACTTCATGCTTGATTCCTAATGACACGCTGTCTCCCTGATGGTACTCTTTTCCCACGTTGGAGGTGAATAAAAGCACTTCAGTGCCCTTTTCTATAGTATCCGACCCCTCTTTTACACTCTTCTCATGGCAACTAAACACTGGCGGGTTTAGAGCTCCTACAGAGACGGGCAGGGGCATTACGCTCGCTACTTGATTCAAGGCTCCAGTATTGCAATTATAAACTTCTGAATCTGTAGAATTAAATGAGCATATATTCAAAAAAAAGAATGCATAGTATCATGTTTTAGTTTTGTTTCATCCAGAAACACATGCATTCATGCTATACTCGTAGAGTTACCGGATTCAACAATAAAAATCTTCAATATTCACATACATTTAACAAATAAAAATGTTATTTCATTGAATACCAGCGACTCTTTTTTTCGTATTATGAAGTGTATTGATCGTATTTAAACAAAATAATATAAGCTTTTACAATACCCTATAGGCCAAGTTCATGTTTTCTTTAATATATATATATATATATATATATATGCAACAAAGCAATAAAAAAAGGGAAAAATGCAAACTATTTTTCCTTTCTTAACTTA